TTGGTCTAAATGAACCACTTTGCTTTGCTTTGGGGGGATGGCTAAGCCGTGAAACTATACCAGGCTTTTGCCTCTACTAGTGGATGGAAGTTTAGGAAGGTGGTTTTAAATTTGTTGGTCAGCCCATGTCAAAGGGTAGGGTTTGATTCTACACTTTGTGGACGGTGGGGTGTGAGATTTCCCTAAGAGTCGGATGTGGGAATGAGTAGAGAAAGAGTTTTTGTAGAACATCGATTTAGATTGGTTATGAATAGAATTTTTGATTGAATTGAAATTTGCTGATTTTAGAAGGACCGAATTTTTAACGATAGTTAAATGAACCAGTAAAAAATGTCTAACTATACTCAGTGAATCATACCGACTAGTAAACCAGTGTAATTCGCATCGTCCTCCGGGCTACGGTTGTACAATCTTTTTACACAATAACTCAATAATAAATGGTTGTAAGACTCTGGTTTTGAAATTTTTCGAAAACTAACTAAATTGTAAACGATCACCGACGATTATTGTATCACCACCGAATATCACTACAGGTCGTTATTTCCACTCTTCCAACCGGGTATTCGTAAACCATACTCAATTTTCAGCCGTATGACTAAAACCAGTCGAAAATTGACAAAAATATTTTTGACGAATTCTCCACGAGTTTCCCGAGATCATAGAATTTTCAGATTTCCGATTGACTGATTTTCCGATGAACGGCAGCTGTTCGAAAATTTCGGTTTTAGGACTCTGTTACTACACGGCGTCACTTGCGTTTCCAATAAATTGATATCTTAACAAGGCCGGCTTTATCAATAAATCTTGTATTTTAATCGTACTTGACCTAATCATTATGAATAAATAATATTATAATAACACATTGTTAAAGGATTTTAGCAGAAACTCAGTTGCAAATGTGTAACAATTTAATGTGTTAATTTGTAAATACTTTTTTGTTAATCCTACCGATGGTCCTGATTATAATATTATTTATTCATAATGATTAGGTCAAGTACGATTAAAATACAAGATTTATCGATAAAGTCTGCCTTGTTAAGATTTCACGAACATGCAGTTATTACTATCGTTATTAAATTATACCTAAGATTTGATTTTTATACGATATACCCACAAAGCGCACCGGTATGGATAATATTGCACACTATTGCACTGCAGTTGCATCGGCGAGATATTTTTTTTTTGCATTGCACGGTTGGAGGGACTTATAGTCGTTTTCCTGAGTTTCGGGGGGTTTAGCCCCATGACTCAGAGTAGAAGATGGAGTGGTTGAGGTGCTTTTTATGTGCGCCTGGTCAGTTCACCGGGTCTGTTTCTGTTGAGTTCTGGTGGGCCGATCGTTTTGCCTATGCTTTGTAGGTGGTTGTAGTTGGATTGTTGGAGTTTGACGAACATGTTTTTTGAACGAGATATTTTGTGCATGCAATACCTATATATATAATTTACCTATAAATGTATATAATATAGTATCGATGCAGTTTTAAACATTTAGTGTGCTTATCGTCAAACCTATTATATTGGTTGCATTTTCAAATACATATAATATGATATACATTATACACGTATAGTACTTGCAGCTCGTAGTCATTACAGTATTACCCGGGACGAGTGCTCCGTCCACAACTGATTTACATCAACGTATCCGAATTATCTGTTCGGGATTATAATATTATAATATGTATACAGCCATTGTCATATAAGTGGTTCGGTTTATATGGCCATTTACCATCGTACGCGCGTGTATATTGTTGTAATGATATGTGTTTGCATTATAATTTATACGATTGAAATGCGCCACTATCATCGCACGCATCGTTTTGCACGAAACTATAATACCTTAATAATAATATACGATGCAGAAATACGAACGTTGCGGAATATTATAATGTATAAACCTATGCCCATAGGCGAACTATTACCCATTGTCGAAAAATTGTTCCTATAAATTGCGTAAATTGCGGCCCGGGTATATTTGAAATGTACGTAAATTGCGGCCTGGGATATTCCGATTTCCGGTCGGCTGTACAATTTTAAGATAAGTATTAATCTTTGATTGATCAATGTAGATAATAATAATATTTTTTTTCAATTTAATAAAAATGGACGTTATGAAAAGTGAAAGGAATAAAACGTTGAAAGTAGTTGATGGTTTCAAATTTCGTTTTTACAAAATGCTAAAATATGATATTCAGCGCTGGGTATGCGCAGTTAAAACGTGTAAGTGTTTTTTGAAATTTAATGATAATAATATTTGTATAGATAGTTTTAAAGATCACAAAATTCATTTTAAAATTTCGGAACAAATAATAAATCGATAGAAACTGAACAACAGTTTAAAAAGAAAAGCCATTGATGATATGTCCCAAGTCTGAAAAATGAGAAGGAAAATATTGATTTTGGAAAAAAAGGCTTGCTTTGCTTTGCTTCGAATTGGGAGCCAAGGAAAAACCCCAGCTGTGTTTGTAAGTGTCAGGCGATGCCTATAACTTATGTTTGAATTTTTTAATGGCTGGTTGTCAGGATGTAGAGTATATTATTGTAATTTCACAAAGTTGATTGGTCTTGGTCGGCGTGTGAGTATTTGAGGAGCTGGTGATGTTCCAATGTCGCGGATGTGGGCGAATGTTGATTGGGAATTTCTGTGATAAAATACCTTAGCCGCTAGTTCTGCTTCGTTTCGCAAAGAGTTTATGGGTGGATTTAAGATAGCGTTATTTCTGGTGAAAAAGTGGGCACCTGTGATTGTACGGATCGCCACGTTTTGGACTGCCTCTATGTTTGCCCAGTTTGATGCACTGATGAGAGGACCCCATGCCGAAGAGGCATATAGTAAAATTGGTTTGATATATAATTTATAAATTGAGAGTCTGGTTGGCATTGGGATGGGTGATCTGTCGTTAAGTATCGGGTATAAAAAAAGGCTTAGACGTAATTATTACTTATAAATTAAAAATATTTGGGTAGGTACCTAATACAAATTATACCCTGGCCGCAATTTACGTATGTATAAAATATACTCAGGCCGCAATTTACGAATTTATAAAATATAGCCAGGCCGCAGTTTACGTATGTACAAAATATGCCCGGGCCGCAATTTACAGCGACCCAAATGGTTAGACTATCGGAATTTTCAACACTTTATCTTGGGAAATTTAATTTAATTAACAATAATACAAAAACTAAATACCAAACGTACGCCCGCACGGCGCACAATAAATAAACAGAGTAATTCAAAATAAATGCGATCGTGATGTATGATGTATATCCAAGACTCCAACTGACAAATTGGTTATTCATTTTTTTTAGTCCCAGTAAGCTAACACATCCGATGATCGATGGAGATCGATCGAGACGTCATCGATTAACAACCAATCACAGTGCAGAACGAACGCAACACACCGTACCATGGGCTTAGGGAGGAATTCCAAGCATCTCCGTACATCAAACGAGTACCGCAAGTACGGCAAAGGATAGGGGAGGTCACGACAAAGATAACGGTACCTTCCCCGTGGTTGTAACCGAAAAAATGACTGAGATACCGCCAAATCCGTCCCGATAGTAAACACACCGAACAACCGAATAATCGATACGTTTACTAGTCGGTACGGACAGTAGTACTTCTACTATCAAAATTCCGCGAAATTACCTACAATCAACTTACTCGGAGAAAAAATATGAGGATGATGTGGCAGCTAATAGTTGAGGCAAAGCCTGGAATAGTTAACTGCATAGCCATCCCTTTTAATGCAATGCAATGAATCTACCTACTGAGCAGCTTCAATTCAATACTCCAGCCAGTGTTGCCGATATCCAAATTAAAATTACCACTTTACGATGGTGAAATTACCCAACCAAGATGAAATTACCACAGTTTGGGGTAATTACCACACATTTGGCAACACTGCGGAGTAGACTTCAACATCAAGTGAAACGACGAAACCGAAGTAAAACAACTGAAGCTAGCTGAACGACGAACGATCCAGTATCCCGACACGGGTCGCAGAACGGTCCTACACGGACCCGTGCGCAACACTTTGGAGAATCGCTAGAATTGGTGGTCGAACGGGTCTCATCGGCATTTGAAACACCACAATTGGGAGCTGAAGTAGAAGAATTGCCGTACAACTCCGTGTGGTGCGACTCGCAGAAATTTCACCGCAATTGTCCGGTAGTTTTCCGCGGCCGAGGATCGCAAAGGGTTTGCTAATTTTATATACGGAGTTATTACGGTGGTAACCTCTCGTTATATCTGACGTCGGGGAATGGTATATACCAGAACCCCGGCGCAGGTACTCGATGCGCCACCCAACCCCGTGTGTCGTTAGGTTAGGTTAACGAACCTAACCTAACCTGGTGGTCCAAGCCGAAGGGAAATCTATCGAGACAAAACGTCCTGAAGACGGTAGCCGCGCTCTATTGATCTTTTCATCTTTTCAATGAACGGTTTCACTAACATCGTTAAAATTGTCCTTTTTAGGACAACCATATATTACCGAAATACAATAAAATAAGGTACCCACTTCCTCTCAAACATTTTCCCCCAAGCAAATAACTTCATAGTTCATATCATACCAGGAAAGATCTAACCCCAATTTCACTTCTGATTTTTGAACTTAATTGGAAAAGTCTCTGACCTTGGTAACTAGACTAAAAACAGCAATTCGAACAAATGAGACCAGTGGTATATTATAGACATCATCATTTGGATTCTACCATCGTAACCAACAAAACTAGTAGATCACCTTGCAATTGGTAACATAATATAAGACAAGTATTATAATTTTAAAAAAAATTAGTAGATATAATATTATTCTATAATTTTTTACAAGTGTATTTATTAAAAATACAAATATTTGGCCTGAAGAACATCGGGTACACCTGATAAGAGATAAAATTTGATTAATAACATAAAAATAGGTTACCAACAAATATTATTTACCTAATATTATATGCCCTAATGTTTTAAGAATACTCTTGTCGAAGCGCGTAGATGCAAAAACATGCTTAACCCCATCCTAAATAGCCGAAGCCCAGTGCCGCTCAAAACTAAAATACAAATCTACCTCATGTATATCAGACCTCTCCTAACATACGCCGCCGAGTCCTGGGGCCCTTGCATTGCGCTCTCAAACTGGAATCTAATTGATTCAGTTCAGACCAGTTGCATACGGACCAGCGCTGGCCTCATGAATTTCGTATCCAACCAAAACGTTGGAGACTCTTCCAGAATAAAAACCCTACGTGAAGTAGTCACGGAAAACTCAAAACACCTTCTCAAATCATAACCATATAAAAGAATTAGGCCGTGACGAAGCAGAAACGACAATAATTAAGACCACTCCAAAAATACGACCATTCGATTGGTCACATACATAAAACCAAAATCTTTATCTAATAATCTACTTGACATTTCCATCAACTCTTAATAGGCATCCGTCTGAAAAGAGTACATAGGCCAATTAATGGTCGTCCTACATGTAATGCAATGAAAAAATCAAGTCAAAGTGAAGCGTTGATTGAAAAGATAATGATCAATATTGGTCGTTGGAGAGTGGCAATCTAGTCAGTCTACTTCAAACCGTCAACAACTATCACTTCAACACAAGGATCAGACGGAAGAAGGACCCGGACCAATATCAATACACCCGCAACTCGTCAGAGAACGATGTCCTCGCCGCTCCACGGCTACAACTGTACGATCGTCGACCAGCTACGAGGCAACCGCTCTACGGTGTGAGACCATTCCAAACGGCTGTACGTCGACGACAGCGCCGTTCCACGACTACAACTCTCGTCCAATCGCCGACCAGCCACGAGGCAGCCGCTCCACGGCATAAGACCAGTGCCGAACGGCGAATCAACGACAGCGACACTTCACGGCTGCAGACATCAACCAACCGCCGACCGATTACGAGGCCACCGCTCTACGATGGAAGACCGGCGCTCCCAACCGAAGATTAATGTGGATGCCGTGTTACCGCGCTTTGCTTTGCTTTGTTGTGACGGCCTTTGGCCTATTAACTATACCAGGCTCGGGGCCTATTCTAGTAGAGGGAAGTTTTTGAAGGAGTTAGTTAATTAATATGGGTTGATCTTCATATGCCCATGAGAAGGGTCTGGGGGCATTTGATAAAATCTGGTCTGTTTTAGAACGGCCTAAGGTTCGAATGTGTTTGAATATGGATTGTTGATTGGTGTAAAAATTTGTTCTTGATTGTTGTTTGATGGTTTGTTCGATTGTGATTGAATTGGTTTGTTTGAGTAGAACGTTGTTTCTAAGGTATTGTGGCATGCCCGTTACCATCCGTATGGCTACTGTCTGGATTGCCTCGAGTTGTCTCCATTGGGATCTGGTGACGAAAGGAGCCCAAGCTGCGCCGGCGTAAGTGATAATGGGTATAATATACATTTTTAAAATTGTTAGGCGGGTATTTAATGGTATATGGCTACTTTTGTTGATTACCTGATATAGCCTACCTCTTGTTTGCGTGGCACGCTGTTTTATGTTGGAGATGTGGTCCCGCATACTAGGGGTCCTCTTGGTCCGCGGCTGATGGTGATGCCTAAGTATTTCGTTTTGCTTTACCATCCAATTGCTATCCCATCGATGTTTATTTTCGGTATCCTTGATAGTTTGGTTCGGCCAAAGATAATCGCAGTAGTTCTCAAAGGATTTATTTTTAAACGCCATTTGCTGAACCACTCTGTAGCTAAATCCGTTTGTTTCTGTAGCTGGATGGCTGCACGTTTTGCGTTTTTGTTTTTTCTATGAAACATTGTGTCATCGGCGAAGAGAGAAACTTGTCCTTTGTCTGTGAGGGGTATGTCGTTTGTGTATATAATGAAAAGGGTTGGCGACAAGCAGGAGCCCTGTGGTACTCCGGCTTCAATCTTCCTGGTGGTTGATGTTTTGTCCTCGATTTTTGCTGAGAAAGTTCTTTTTGTTAGGAACGATTCGATTAACTTTATAAGTCCTATCGGTATTTGCAATCTCGACATTTTGAATATCAACCCTGCGTGCCATATGCGATCAAATGCCTTTTCCACATCTAGGAAGATTGCTGCTGTTTGTTCTTTCTTGTTTGTATTTGTACTGAGGTCGTCCATCAGTTTGATGAGTTGATTTGTAGTCGAGTGTCCCTGGCGGAAGGCAAATTGTTCATTTCTAATTTTCCCGGCACATTCACTACGGAGTTTTTCTAGGATTACTTTTTCGAATACTTTGGATATTGATGATAGGAGTGCGATCGGTCTATAGTTCTCTGGCTTTTTATGGTCTTTTCCGGGTTTGGGGATCGAGATGATGATAGCATTTTTCCATTTTGTTGGAAAATAGCTTATCCTTAGACAACTGTTAATTATTCGCGTAAGTGTTAAAATTTTGTTTAATGGGAGAAATCTGAGTGCAGTGTTGTTAATTTGGTCCTCACCCGGCGCTTTTTTCCTTGGGAGCCTATTGATTATTTTTTGTACTGTTCCAGGTGATGTGAAGAGGTTTGAACACGTAATGGTTGTGTTTAGAATTTCGTTTGCTACTTTAGTTATTTCTTCGATTTCAGGTCCTGTATTTAGCGTAAATTGCTTTTCGAGCGAGTCAGCTATTAGTTCCGATTTCTCGTTGGCCGAGTAGACAAGTCCGCGAGGACCGATGAGTGGATGTGTTACCGCTAGGGTACCTGTGTCAATCAATAGGACCACACTGACATCGCAGCCCCCCCCCCCCCCACGGCAAGCAACATCGTGCCCGTCGTGCACAGCAGCGACGAAGAACCAACGACGCAGACAGAAAACAGCCCTTTTCAGAGACAACATATCACGTTAAGTCATTTAAATAAGTTGTCCTTCCCGAGCCAGGTTCGCCGTCGGAATACCGCTTTAAATAAGTCTGTGCCGACGACGGCCGACTCCTAACCCCAGTATATGTAATATATAAAAAATTTGACAATCATTGTAAATAGAATCCGGCCTCGGATGATCCAAGCACCACCGACTATTCTGGTCCACTTACATAAGTCTGACCAGAATAACTCGACGCTTTACTGAACCCCATATTATATATATTTATATATTTTATTTAGATTACAATACAGGAACGTGATTACTATAAACGTGCGTTCGATTTATTTCACGACTCGGCACGCCTTACTGGCGCACCGTATCAATATTAATACATTTACCTGCGTCGTACTCGGCAGCATCGTATGTATTTTGATACATCATTCGATTCGACTATAAATATTATAAATATTAATAAATTTTGGCGATAGTAGGTAGGAGCGTGATTGGACGATAGCTGACGGGGTCAGCGTGGTCTTTCCCCGGCTTAGGTATGGTTATGATTTGACCTTTTTTCCAGTCGTCCGGGAAGAAGCAAAGACGAATACAACCGTTGTAAATATGCGTTAGCCTAAGAATAAAATTATTCGGTGCGTTTTTGAGAGCTTTGTTCGTGATTTGATGTTCACCGGGGACTTTCCGTTTGGGTAGATGGTTTATGATGTCTTTGATGAACCCAGGGGTTGTATAGTCATTACTACTGACTTGTGCGTCATTGATAGATGTTAGAATGCTAATTACTTCTGGGAGGACTGGGCCACGATTTGGCGTGAACTGTTGCTGGTACAGTGGTACGTATCAACAAATAGTGCTGCACGATCAAAAATCACACCGTTGAACGAACATTTCCTTTTACGATGTGTGATTTTCACTCGTCACTTCGTATCTTTTTTCCCAATCATCTTATTTTGTGGTCTTGAACAAGACCTTTTAATGTACGATGGTTGTTTGTTCCGTAACAAGAGCCTGGTGAAGATCTCATCACCAACACTGCTCTTAAATTTCTACCGAATAACATTCTACTTTCGTTAACACAAATTATAAATTGCTCCCTCAGAATTTGCTACTTTCCACGTGCTTGGAAAAAAGCAGTAATAATTTCCATCCCCAAGCCGGGTAAAGATCACAAACTTCCCTAAAACTACCGACCTATCGCTCTACTCTCCTCCATATCAAAAATTTACGAACGAATCATCCTCTCCCACCTTCAAACCAATCTTCGAGACAACATCCGCCCAGAACAATTTGCCTTCAGACCTGAAACCTCTACCACTCTACAACTGACCAAACTTACTCACCAACTTAGTCAGAACTTTAACGACAACGTAAACACCGCCTCCATTTTCCTTGACGTGGAAAAACTGTCCCAACTCAACATCTCGACTGAAATCGTTAAAATCATCGAATCATTTCTCACTGACCGCACTTTTGTCACAAAAATCGAAGACTCGTTCTCGTCCCCCAGACACATACTCGCAGGCGTCCCTGCCTCAAGGATCCTGCCTTTCACCTACTCTCTACTTGACTTACATTAACGACATACCAACAACTCCTAAAGCTCACCTCTCACTATTCGCTGACGACACTATGTTCTTTACTTTCGACAAAAACCCGAAACGTGCAGCCATACAATTACAACACCAACTCAACCTAGCTACCACATGGTTTCATCGCTGGAAAATCAAAATAAACCCTACCAAAACAATAGGTATTCTTTTCGGACGTTCCAATACTACTCGCATCCCACCACTACAACTCGACAACCATCCAGTGACTTGGTCCAATCATGCCAAATACCTCGGCGTTACAATAGGGCGCAAACTCACCTTCGACAAACACGTTCAAGACATCAACAAAAAAGCCACTCGCGTCCGCGGAATTCTTTACCCCATTCTCAACCGTTCTAGCCCTGTCCCAAAATCTTCAAAACTCAATATTCTAAAACTTTACGTCTCTCCAATTCTTTCTTATGCTGGCCCCTCTTGGGCTCCTTTCATCGGTCCCTCACATTGGAGACGTATCGAATCTGTCCAAAACATCGGCATTCGCACGATAACGGGTATGCCCACTATCGTTAAAAATTCGGTCCTTCTAAAATCAGCAAATTTCAATTCAATCAAAAATTCAATTCATAGCCAATCGATGTTCTACAAAAACTCTTTCTCTACTCATGCCCACATCCGACTCTTAGGGAAATCTCACACCCCACCATCCACAAAATGTAGAATCAAACCCTACCCTTTGACATGGGCTGACCAACAAATTTAAAACCACCTTCCTAAACATCCATCCACTAGTAGAGGCAAAAGCCTGGTATAGTTTTACGGCTTAGCCATCCCCCCAAAGCAAAGTGTTCCGTAACACGATGGCTTAGCCATCCCCCCCAAAGCAAAGCAAAGCAGTTCCGTAACAATATTATATGTCAGGTTTAATTCAAATACAAACTGAACAATATTTCTAAAGTTAAAACTGGGCACGATGCCATGATTGAAGAAAAACAGTATAGATACACTCGTATACTCTGCAGTAAAATTATTGTAATCAAACTTTATAGTTATGACTGGAATTTGTAATCACCAATATTAAAACATTAGGGCATATAATATTAGGTAAATAATAGTTGTTGGTAACCTATTTTTATGTTATTAATCAAATTTTATCTCTTAGCAGGTGTCCCGATGTTCTTCAGGCCAAATATTTGTATTATTTAATAAATACACTGTAAAAAATTATAATAATAATATAAAATAATCTACTAATTTTTTTTTAAATTAATTACTTATATTATGTTACCAATTGCAAGGTGATCTACTAGTTTTGTTAGTTTCGATGTGTAGAATCACATAAATGGATGATGCCTTTAGACCACTGGTCTAATGTCCGAATCGCTGTTTTTAGTCTAGTTATCAAGGTTATTCTCAGAGACTTTTCCAATTGAGTTCAGAAGTGAAATTGGTGGTAAATATTTGGAAACTTTTAGAACTATATGAGCTATGAAGATATTTGTTTGGGGGAAATGTTTGGGAGGAAGTGGGTTACCTTATTTTATTGTATTTCGGTAATATATTATGGTTGTCCTAAAAAGGACAATTTTTACGATGTTAGTGAACCGTTGTGATTGGTGGACGAGGTGGCCGAGCGGTCCAACGCGTCGTCTGCGGAGCTTGCAGTCGCGGGTTCGACTCTCGGCCACTGGGCGGCATTTTTCTCCGGGCAAGTCACGGTGTCCGGAAAACAAGTTCTGCCATCCCCCACTCCGGGGCATGGCAGAAACCTACGGGTGCCCCATTCAAAAATTCTGCCAAAATACACACACGTTGTCCGTGTAGGTCTTCGTCCTTGCGACTAGTCTCTGGTTACTGGTATGGTCCGTCATTCAGCTTCAGGTGTTCAACTTTAGTTTCGTCGTTTCAAGTGAATGTTGAAGTCTGTTGAGGTATTGAAATCGAGATGCACGGTAGGCAGTATAGCTTTGCTTTACTTTACTTTAAGAGGGATGGCTATGCCGTTAACTATTTCAGGCTTATGCTTCTACTAGTGGATGGAACTTAAAAAGATAGCCGTATAGCAGTTTGGCCGAATTTTGACAGTTGAAGTACTACTGTCCGTACTACCGACTAGTAAACGTATCGATTATTCGGTTATTCGGTGTGTTTACTATTGGGACGGATTTGGCGGTATCTCAGTCATTTTTTTGGTTACAGCCACGGGGAAGGTACCATTATCTTCGTCGTGACCTCCCCTATCCTTGGCCGTACTTGCGGTACTCGCTTGATGTACGGAGATGCTTGGAATTCCTCCCTAAGCCCATGGTACGGTGTGTTGCGTTCGTTCTGCACTGTGATTGGTTGTTAATCGATGACGTCTCTATCAATCTCCATCGATTATCGGATGTATTAGCTTACTGGGACTAAAAAAAAATGAATAACCAATTTGTCAGTTGGAGTCTTGGAGATACATCACGATCGCATTTATTTTGAATTACCCTGTTTATTTATTGTGCGCCGTGCGGGCCTACGTTTGGTATTTAGTTTTTGTACTATTGTCAATTAAATTAAATTTCCCAAGATAAAGTGTTAAAAATTCCGAAAGTCTAACCATTTTTAAGGTTCCGTACGGTATGACGGGACCCTATTACTAAGGCTCCGCTGTCCGTCGTCCGTCCGTCCGTCACCAGGCTCTATCTCATGAACCATAAAAGTTATAAAGTTGAAATTTTCACAGATTATGTATTTTCTGTTGCCACTATAACAACAAATACTAAAAATCTTAGAATATAATATTATAATATAAAAAGTGTTGTTGCCAACATGTTTATAGATAATGGTACGGAACCCTTCGTGCCCGAGTCCGACTCTCACTTGTTTTTTTATCGGTTACGTAATAGAGTGCTTATGATGACAATTTTTTAAGGGCATTCTTTGAAATGGCATTTTTGGTTATTTTTCGGAGCGTTTATCCATAGTTTTTATAGCATTTAAATCCGGGCCCTAATTAATGTATATTATTGGTGGCATGTATAATTGTACCTACCACTTTATAATATCATCATATGAGATGAGTGGTGTACGGTTCACGGTGTATAATAGCCCGCTGTAGTGTTGTAAATAATAATATTATTATAACCGAAACGAGCTGCTGTTTATTATAGTATTTTTGACGAGTCGCGGAAACTCGCAATTATTAAAGCGGCTTAGGTACCTACCCATATTTATTTCGTACGAATGCGATGTACACGCGTATTTGTTTCGTTTCGTCGTTATTCATAATGCAGTCGCACGCGCGATAAATGGTTATTTTTCAAACAAAGTGATAAATACGGTTTTTGACGGTTTGCTCGGCCGGGGGGGGGGGGGGGGGGGCTGTCGCGCGCTGCTCGGCGGAGGGCGCATAATTTTATTATAATATTATTATTATTATTTATTTTGCGCGAATAAAGGCGGACGATGAGATTGCGCGAAGGCGAGGGATTATTATTATTCCTCGCGTGCATACAGAGGGAAAGCGGTGCGAACACGTCGTCGTCGTCGGCGAGCAAGGTGTATAAACACGCGTTATTTCGGTCGGTCGGCGGAGGTCGCGTGTGCGAAGGGGGCGCGCGATGCGGCGGCAGAGCGAGGCGGAATCCATGGCGACTAATCGACCGGTCACGTAAGCATGCGAATGACAAACGAGCACGTGCGTTCTTCGTGAAAACGAAAACTTGAAGAAAAAAAAAAAAGCCGACTCTCGAAAGCCGGCCGTGGTGACGGCGAGGTTTGAGTTGTTTTTTTTTTCTGGTTGTTTTTCCGACCGTTTATCTGTTTATTTATTTTTTTCATTTTTGACGATATCGACGCCGATCGTCCGTAACAATAATAATAATAATAATAAGATTGTCGTTGTAACAATGATACGCGCAGGTAAAGGCGGAGAATGTCCGGCGGTGCGGTTTGTTTTTTCATCTGGTTTGATTAATATTAATAATAAATTGTAAATAATTGTATAACGCGTGTTTACAACACTATTAACGGTGGTATATCCGCACCCCCGCGAAGGGATGCGCTCCGGGCTTTAGCACTCCCATCACAACCCCACTCCGAGAGTCACGACACATTTTGCGCTTGCAGAGACGGATCCGAATTAGCCGCCGTCTGCAGATGCTGCAGACGATAATAATTAATAATATTGTTAGAAGTTTTAACTTTGAACGCGACAAAAATCCGATTGTTGAAATTGTATAATATTTTATACACCATGGCGCCACTAGCGCATAGGTGGAATATAATATTATGATTAACTTTTGAATAAGTACTTATAATCCACCGAAAAATATCAAAAACTCGATGTAATCCGTGGTTGAAACATGCAAGGTTATTGCATTTATACTCCCTTCTAGATCAAATATTTGATGATAAAAACAAAAATGGTAGCGCAAAGGGAACCAATAACAATCGAGTACCTACATGCGCGGGAATTTTGAATTTGTTAGCTTTCGTCAGCGTGTTTTAGATGATAAGAAAAATTTATATTTGTGATATCCTCTTACGCAGCCATTTTGTTTCCGATGATAACACAAAACGATGCAATAATCTGTATATTTCAACCATGATGTAATCTAAAGGAACAAAAATATAGGTGAATTCGTAAATTATTATGACGCGGTAGTGTGACTTGTCAGTGTGTAACAATAGTAAATATTGTGTGTGTGTGTGTGTGAGATTAATCAATCTGAAAATGTCATCGTCCGTTTTATTCATCGGTGAACTTCCGCAGGGTAAGTACGCTCAAGCACAAGCACACAGTTCGATGAATATTATTACCAAGTTCAAGCACTCTGACAATTTGTAGTAGTCACACTCAAAACGATAAACTTAAAAGATGAAATCGCCTGCTGCCTGCATAACATTTGGATCGGACGGATTATGATTTCGATTCATACAATTAATATAGTACTATAACTGAAAGTTAAATTTAAAGTGATTTTCAATACTAAAAAAAACGTTTGATCTTATAGGTGGGTAGGTACCTGTAACCTAACTTATGCATCTTACAATATTATAGTACAACAATTAAATCATCGAAATACCATTTTTTTCGTTCATTGATCTTCCAGTTGAAAAAACAAAATAATATAATATTGAAAATCGGTCGATTAAAACACGTTAAACTTATTAAACATGACTTGTTTTCTATGATATAAAATCCGCCTTACATACGTATACGAGTAAATAGCAAAGTTCATTCTGCAGAACTGATATTTTGATGTTATTATAACTTTAATGTAACGGTGATTGACATATTATAAAACGTAAAGATAAGAACATTAAACGTGTTTGTACTTTTTTTTTACGGTTTTATTATGCATGTTAACTCTAATATGACTTAAGAGCATTATTTACATTCTACTCTAATTTAAAGCTTACAACACAAAATGGTTTTTCTGCCTAATCGCAATTTTGATTTGTTGCACATTCGTTAGACTGAGATAATACTTGTGGATGAGACGTCTTCTCCTGAATGAATTAAGATCAGTTTTCAACATTTAAATCTGTCTTACCGCAAGTTCCTATCCTGCATTGACATGTGATTATGTCTAAATAATAAATACCCCTTTTCTGCAGTATAATATAGTGACTGCTATTGTAGTAGTACAATGACTATACTTAGTCTAGTAATTAATATTATCAATAATTATAGGTAATTACTATATTCATATTTATTTGTTGACTTGTTTCATAGGTATACTAAAAATGATGATGCTACGCACAATTTTACGTTTTCTGCTTTTATTTTAGCATATTATGACCAATGTATAGTTAATGTTGTAAAATTGTGGAATAATAAGTAGGTATTTTAAATGCATTATTCATTACCACCATAGTGTATTAAGATTAAGACATACAATATTATTAGTACTATATTTATAAGCTTCAACAGTTTTATAATTAATGTTTTAATAATTACTATAACAAGAATTACTTATTAAATAAACTTTGGATTCGATATTTAATTATTCAACTATACTAACACTGTCAATTTATTATTAAATATTTAATACGATTTCGTAAAAACTAATTATAATATAGAATAATCCTTTAAAAATTGTTAGTGTACAATAAATAAATTACAATATTATATATTATTTATATGAATCAATTACACCACTCACAGCGTTAAAAAAATTATCGACTAAATAATATTTATTTCCCTATAGGATGGTTTTACGTCGAATTCGTTGGTAGTCATTATGATAAATAATACAATATAATAGGTATAGCATATTATAATACGTACTATACAAGTGTGATTACCGAGTAAAAAATTTAATTATTACACATATTATAAACGTACAGGTTCAGTGCTGACTTACAGACTACAGCACACCGATAATATAATATTATTATTAATGTTACATTATATTGGCGCCACGCTGCACTGTACCGCCGACGCCAGTGTCCCGTTATCTTTTGTTTGGTAATTACCGAGATTGCTGTACGATGGGATATCGACGTAGCAGTCGTGTGTCTGCGAGTCGGTTTAAATTGAAACTTTCAATATAATAATAATATACACTACAACTGACGTTCACTTCAACACTTCCGGTAGCGCCCGAGTGACTGTATTACGCATTACATATAATTTAAAAAAACTCCCCTATATTTATGCGTAATTAAATTTTAATTTCCGGCTGGATTTGGGCAGTATGATGTTTCCATGATATATTTTTATGGTCACCGCCAAGCCTTGCAATGACTAAAATATATTATATTAAGAACCGTACGTTTTTTGACATTCCTCTTTTTGAGTGTCGTCAAATAATCGCAAGTATATTTTTTGTTATACACTATGATTTCATGTGATTTACCTAAATGAGATTCATAATATAGGAGAGGGACTGTTATCAGTTAATATAGTTATCACTATCCAAATGAACAATACCATCTATCGCATCCGTCGTTGCGCCCAGTGATTGTCTTGTTCGTCTTCCGCCGTTTTCCTTGCGTAATCCTGAATCTAAATATATATTATATATAGAATTGACACGCTTATACCTACAACCGCTGAACCGCAACCCCGATAAATTTATCCCCCGAAGGATAAATATATGTTTTTTGAGAACATATTTTGCAATTTGAAACTTCTGCATTAGATCGACCGCACAGGTATATATATAATATTATTATAATATATTAATATAATCTATCTATATGCTGCTATATGTAGGCATATTCAATATTGTATAGACTGTAGATACCGATGGCGAAATGGTCAGTCGGTTAAAATTCGATTTCAGCGGCAGACGGGACGCCGCCCTTAGAATATTTAATTGCATTCATGGTTTTATCATATAAATTATTGCGCAGTGGTATAATACTATAGTTTCCCGCTTTAGGGTCGTCACTCGTCATCTACTCACTACTAGTTGTCATTGTTGTATAAACAAAGTTATACAAAAAAATAATTTTTCCTGATATTATTATTATTTTTTATAATATGAACTAAATACCTATATATCTATGGATATTCAGTATTTCCAACGACGTTTTTTTCGGTATGAGTCATGAGGATTTTAATTTTTAAAGACACTACCACCAAATAATAATAAAAGTAATAGAGACTTAACCACAAAAAACGTAATATTTTTTATTCGATTTTCATAATAGCTCTTAAAGTATAAATAATAAATAAGTAGTAATTTTATTATACAGTATGTCAAATTAAAGGATATTCATCTAACTTGGTAAATATTATTCAGGAATTGAAATTTACATTTTTATTAAAACCCTCGAGTCCACTGCTGTTCGTTAAATCGACACACACACGTTATATATATATATATATATTATAGTAATTAGTAAGTAAATTCGAGTACTTGCACTGCAGCTACTCTGCTATACAGAAGTTGCAGTACAGCTCAAACGGGGTCACACATGAGTTTTACAATTTATTCGAATCAACTCCATAATACCTATTATTATAGAAAATATTGATGTAATAAAGGAGGTTGGCGCTAATGAGACATACCTGATTTTAGACTCGTAAAATCAGTGTAATTGGTATAAACAGTTTTCAATGGAAAAAAAACGATTTTTAAAAACAATTTTGTATTCGACTTTCAAAATAAAAATTTACATTTAAAGAACTTATAAATTGTTTTGCTACGATAATTAGACAAATCGATATGTCTACCCTCAAACATATTATTCTATATCGTTTTTGTAATAGGTGATTTTAATCTAAGATTACTCAAAAACTCAAAAATTGATTCTGCTTTAAATAAATGCGTTTTGTTTATGACAAAGATCACTTCTTGGCCAGAGAGAGAAAACAAACAGTGCGCTGACATCCTTTTAAGCGTTTAAAATATATCGTATGATTTAATTTACCATATAAAATATATCAGTGAAAATTGCGATAACTCAATCGTCACACGACAGTATAATTCGATACTATCTCGAAAAGAAGTCTAGTTTATTTCTTCTCTTGAGAGGGTGTCTATGCAATATTTTTCTCTCTCAGACCCTATCTTTGACATGACATAGTCATGCATAAAATTGTTTTTTTTTTTTATGATTTTTGAGTAATCTTAGAGTAAAATCATCTATTACAAAAATTATAAATAATAATATTCTCGAGGGTTTGACATATCGGTTTTATGTTTTAATATTATTTTACTTAATGTTCAACTTAAAAAATAAAAATAAATCGTTGTAAATTGAAATGG